GAAAAGCATTTTCTAATTTCTACTTTTAGTTCATAGTTATATAAAAGCTTGTGATTAAAAAAATGTAGTATTTTTTAAAATTCAAACGATAAAGATTCGATAACAAAAATTAATCCAAGGGAAACAACTTAGTTAAATTTATGCACTTTACAAAAAAACAATTAAAACATGCCAGAATATCAAAATATTACACATATACATTTTTAGCAACTTTCAAATTATTTAGCGTTTGTAACGTAATTTTACTATTTGTTTATATTATAATTTGCATGTATAAATAAGTTAGATCTATATTATAATTGTTATTTTGAACACAATAGCTTTGATCTACGAATAGTTTTATTAATAAAAAATTTTAAGTTGATAGCATCAATAAATAAATTTCATTGGATTTTGGCCTGTAAACCACGGGACAGTATTATAAATGTGCTAAGTCTGCTCTGCTGAAGGAGTATAGTGCAGGGGTCGGCAACCTTTTGAAGCGGAAGAGCCAAAAGTTACAATTTTCAAAATTTCCCTGGTTTTAAAGAGCCACTAAAAATCTTTTATTTCAAATATTTTATTTTTTATTAAGATTATTAATATTTTAACAAGGAGCTGGAGAGCCGCATCTTGATATCAAAAGAGCCGCATGCGGCTCGCGAGCCGCAGGTTGCCGACCCCTGGGATAGGGGATTGTCCTAACCTAACTTATTCAGTTAACTCAAGAACTGTCTCCTAAAGAAAACCACAACAAGACTGATCTCTATTCAAAAGTCATAACTAGTTATGCAACTCGTTATCTAAAAGGCAATATAATTAGTTAACTCGTAAGTGTGTGTGTGTGTGTGTGGATGTGTGTGTACGTGTGTGTGCGAGTGTGTGTGTGTTTGTATGTGTGCGCGCAAGTGTGTGTGTGTGCGCGCAAATGCATGTGTGTGCGCGCGCAACTGTGTGTGTGCGTGTGTGTGTGTGCGTTTGCGTGTGCGCGCAAGAGTGTGCGTGCATATGTGTGTGTGTGTTTGTGCGTGTGCGTGTGCGTGTGCGTGTGCGTGTGTGTGTGTGTGTGTGTGTGTGTGTGTGTGTGTGTGTGTGTGTGTGTGTGTGTGTGTGTGTGTGTGCTCACGCGCGTTACTATCAAATTAATGAAGAGCCGATACTTGTGACTTCTCGTCTGACAACTATGACGTGGCCACCGTGATTAACACCACATGGAGATTCGGCCTGTACTCACTACGTTTTACATTACATGAAAAAAGACAGCATCAACGTCACTCTCAGATGCCTTTCTCCCTCACTCAAAGACGAAACACATTAGCAAGCAAAATATTCAGCCAAAAGGAACCCACAATAAATCCCACCCCCCACACTAACAATCGCAGCTTCAACATACACATAAACAAACAAGGAACAATCCCTAACTTCATTACATTGAATTACAATAACAAATCCATCAACATACTAAAGGCCATCCCAGCGGGTAAGCAATGTCAACAATGGACAGATCTATGCAGCCAAGATCACCAATCTCTACTTTAATAGAAAATCTCGCCCGCATATTTAACAACGACAGCAACAACAGATAATTCAAGCACGCCACTAAAATAGCGAGCCTCGAAGTCAGCCCCAGAACAACAACGACAGCGAACACCAGCACATCACAGCGAGATGCCTCTAGCCCGTAAGACACATAACTACAGACAACTATGGAAACAGAAACAACAGACATAAACACGAAATATGACGTCCCAACCACACAGCAAGAAAGAAAAAGAAAATCATTCAAAACAACAGAAGACACCACTGCAACAACTCTACCAAACAGTAAACAAACCCAGCAACAACAAGGAGCTACCATCGCATCAATCCAAGCCTCCACATCTTTAATTCCAAAACAAGAACTGCGGATATTGCTTCTACAGTTTTTAAACTGTCAGCGAGCGTAAAACTCATACAAAAACAGCCCACCCTGAAACCACAAAAATGCTCGCGCTGTAATAATTTGATTAAAAGCAGACGGGCAATCAATCAAGCACCACGTGGTAAAACACCCAGACAAACCTGTACACAAATCAATATCTTACGTATACGCAGACGACAGAACATAAACAAACATGTACCAGAACCAGACAACAACCTCATTCAAGTTCAGACCACTCCATCTTTCACCCACTTTCATTTATTATCTTCTATTAAATCCACGCCTTTTTTAAAAATAATATGAAATATGATTAAAATGTGTGAATACTTTGGATTTAAATTTTAAAAATTCTTTGCATTAGGAAAAAAACGAAAAAAAAAATTAAATGAATTGTACTATCGACAGTTTCAGTTGGACGTTGTACTATGTAACACAATGTCCCACTAAGCTCCCCACACCGTAACTCCACCCCTTCATCACACACACACACATTTGACCATCCCTCAAGCACATACACACATACTAACTCGACCTCTCTACATCACCAAATACCTGCTATATCAAATCATGTAAGATTACATTCTTAAAATTTAATAACAGTTACTATTCTACTGCTAGACGATTCTGTGTCACCTTTGATGACGATTTGTTGGCTGAACAGCGTCATGAAACCAGTTTCCTACTCAGTGGCAAACATGAGACAACCATGTAGCCTAGGTGGACTAAGTCCACGGTCCGTCTTCCCCCCCCCCCCCCCCCGACCCACGTCCCCCTAGGGCCCCCGAACTTTCCAAATAAATAAATTGCGCTCTTGAAACACTTGACACTTTTTGGGTTGTTTTTTTTTTCATTTCTAGTATTGATCTGCCCATATACTGTAAAATAAAAAATCTTGAATAACGTAACAAGCTGTTGGTTCAATGAACAATTACAAAAACTACGACCAGTCAAAATTGAACGGGTCACGTTACATGGCGACTACGCGATTAGAAACAAAATAGTTTGGATACTTCAAGTTTTTCAATTACCAGATGTTTGGTTGGTTTTAAAGCAGTAGTATTTTAGTTTTGGCCTCCCAATCCTCTAAGAAATCATCCTGATAGCCATGCCTATATGAGGGCATATTTTTTAACTCTGACACAAGAGCAGAGACATTGGTAAAGTGGGCAGACAACATACAAACATCTCGAGACACATTACACATTGTTAACACATTGAAAACACGTATTCAAACAACTACTTCTTTATAAAGGTTTAATAAGTACTCGAAACATTTACAAGTCAAAATATATTTAATTTAACATAGGCGTGCTATTTAGTTCAAGTCAAAATATATCAAAGTTTAACATAGGCGTGCTATTTAGTTCAAGTCAAAAAAATTTATTAAAGTTAAACATAGGCGTGCTATTTAGTTCAAGTCAAAATATATTAAAGTTTAACATAGGCGTGCTATTTAGTTCAAGTCAAAATATATTAAATTTAACATAGGCGTGCTATTTACTTCAAGTCAAAATATATTAAAGTTTAACATAGGCGTGCTATTTAGTTTATTTTACTACCACGTTTCATAAACAATCATGGCCTCTGGCACAAAAGCAGTTCTCGACATACATCATAAGGATAGAACAAAAATAATTCTCTAAAGAAAGAGATGAAATGTGTATACGTGTTTCTGTATCCTTACTTTTATGTGAAATTAGAACACAAATTTAACAAACATTTTGTAATTTAAAAACATTTAAGGATATTTTTTGTCCTAATTACAGCTTTGAACCCGGTCAGATGAGTCTCGTTAGCTGGGGACAGCCACTCTTCTAGGAGAGACAACTCCAAAATCAAACAACTGCTGCCTTGTAGTTTGTTCTTTGTTGAACAAAGGCTATGGAAGCAAATCCAAAAAGTAAAGCAGGCTGAAATCGGAGTAAATGGCCTCAATGGCGCATAACCAGTCGACACGTATACTTAATTGTGTTGGAGGGAATCCCTTTCAACACTAAAGTTAAGAACGAAGAAAAAGAATAACCTTGGAATATATTGAACACTAAATATTTAGTAGGCTACTACTGAGAACAAAATTAAAAAAAAACAACTATAAACTTAATTAAAGTCTAATGATGGGTTAACAAATGTTAAGTATTGTAGGATAAAACATGATAAACAAAAGTCATAGCTGCTGCGATTATGTGACAATTTAGATTTAGACTTCTATTCTTATTTCGAAGTAAAACACAAGTAATAAAAACAGGTATCATAATATCCAAGCGACTTAACAAATAATTTAGTTATTAGAATTGTATTCTAATTTGAAGTAAAAACAAACACAATAGAAACAGGTATACATAATATAAAAGCGACGTGACTAATAATTTAGTGAGCTTTAATTTCCTCATTTGAAGTAAAATTACAAACATTGTATAAACAGATACGCCTAATATCCAAGTTACTTGACAAATATATTAGTTATTAGAACTGTATTCCTAATTTGAAATTAATAAAACATAATAGAAACAGGTATACATAATATCCAAGTGACTTGACAAATAATTTAAATGTTCTAATTGTATTGCTTAATTTGACATAAAACAATAAATATAAAATTAACAGGTATACATAATATCTAAGTGGCTTGACAAATAAATTAGTTATTAGAACTGTATTCTAATTTGAAATAAATAAAACATAACAGAAACAGGTATACATAATATCTTAGTGACTTGAGAAGTAATTTAGTTATTAAAATTGCATTCCTAATTTGAAGTAAAACAAACATAATAGAAACAGGTATACATAATATCCAAGTGACTTGACAAATTATTTAGTTATTAGAATTGTAATCCTAACTTGAAGTAAAACAATAAACATAATAAAAACAGGTATACATAATATCTAAGTGGCTTGACAAATAAATTAGTTATTAGAATTGTATTCCTAACTTGAAGTAAAACAATAAATATAATAGAAACAGGGATACATAATATCTAAGTGATTTGACAAAAGAATTAGGTATTCTAATTGTATTCCTAATTTGAAGTAAAACAATAAATATAATAGAAACAGGGATACATAATATCAAAGTGATTTGACAAAAGAATTAGGTATTCTAATTGTATTCCTAATTTGAAGTTAAACAAATATAATAGAAACAGGTATACATAATATCCAAGTGACTTGACACATAATTAAATTATTAGAATTGTATTCCTGATTTAAAGTAAAACAGTAAACATAATACAAACAGGTATACATAATATTCAAGCGACTTAAATAATTTAGGTATAAGAATAGTATGGGTTGTGCTTGGTTAGTTGTCAGCTAGCATGTTAGCTTCCCTTGGTTGTCGTTTAGTGGTCTGGGTGCAGTTACAAGTATCACGATTATACGGCTGTCGACTCTTTGGCTGTTGGTTGGGTCCTGGGCTGTTGGCTCCTGGGCTGTCGACTCTTTGGCTGTTGGTTGGCTCCTGGGCTGTTGGTTGGCTCCTGGGCTGTTGGTTGGCTCCTGGGCTGTTGGTTGGCTCCTGGGCTGTTGGTTGGCTCATGGGCTGTTGGTTGGCTCATGGGCTGTTGGTTGGCTCATGGGCTGTGGGTTGGCGCCTGGGCTGTTGGTTGGCTCATGGGCTGTTCGTTGGCTCCTGGGCTGTTCGTTGGCTCCTGGGCTGTTCGTTGGCTCCTGGGCTGTTGGGTCCTGGGCTGTTGGGTCCTGGGCTGTTGGGTCCTGGGCTGTTGGGTCCTGGGCTGTTGGCTCCTGGGCTGTTGGGTCCTGGGCTGTTGGCTCCTGGGCTGTTGGGTCCTGGGCTGTTGGCTCCTGGGCTGTTGGCTCCTGGGCTGTTGGTTGGCTCCTGGGCTGTTGGGTCCTGGGCTGTTGGCTCCTGGGCTGTTGGTTGGCTCCTGGGCTGTTGGCTCCTGGGCTGTTGGCTCCTGGGCTGTTGGTTGGCTCCTGGGCTGTTGGGTCCTGGGCTGTTGGGTCCTGGGCTGTTGGCTCCTGGGCTGTTGGGTCCTGGGCTGTTGGCTCCTGGGCTGTTGGCTCCTGGGCTGTTGGTTGGCTCCTGGGCTGTTGGGTCCTGGGCTGTTGGGTCCTGGGCTGTTGGCTCCTGGGCTGTTGGGTCCTGGGCTGTTGGCTCCTGGGCTGTTGGGTCCTAGGCTGTTGGCTCCTGGGCTGTTGGCTCCTGGGCTGTTGGGTCCTGGGCTTTTGGGTCCTGGGCTGTTGGGTCCTGGGCTGTTGGCTCCTGGGCTGTTGGGTCCTGGGCTGTTGGCTCCTGGGCTGTTGGGTCCTGGGCTGTTGGCTCCTGGGCTGTTGGGTCCTGGGCTGTTGGCTCCTGGGCTGTTGGGTCCTAGGCTGTTGGCTCCTGGGCTGTTGGCTCCTGGGCTGTTGGGTCCTGGGCTGTTGGGTCCTGGGCTGTTGGCTCCTGGGCTGTTGGGTCCTGGGCTGTTGGCTCCTGGGCTGCACGTTCGGTCGTCGGCTCATAGGCTGCTAACTTCGTCCTTCGTTCGTTGTTTATTAACCGGTCAGTGGTGCTAGTAAGGTGCGTTGGTTGTTTTTCGTTCGTTGGTTTGCTTGTTAGTGTTTTAGTTGTCGTTCGTTGGTCAGTTGTAATTCGTTTGTCAGTTGTCGGTTAGTGGCGTTAGTAAGGTTCGTAGATTGGTTTTTGTCAGTTGGTTGGTTTTTGTCGATTGGTTGTTTGTCCATTAGTGGGTTAGTTGTAGTTCGTTGGTCAGTTGTCGGTTAGTGGTGTTAGTAAGGTTCGTTGGTTGGTTCGTTTTTGTCCGTAGGTTGGTTTGTCTATTAGTGGGTTAGTTGTCGTTCGTTGGTCAGTTGTCGTTCGTTGGTCAATTGTCGGTTAGTCATTTTAGTAAGGTTCGTTGGTTGGTTTTTGTCGATTGGTTGTTTGTCTATTAGTGGATTAGTTGTCGTTCGTTGGTCAGTTGTCGGTTAGTGGTTTTAGTAACGTTCGTTGGTTGGTTGGTTTTTGTCAGTAGGTTGGTTTGTCTATTAGTGGATTAGTTGTCGTTCGTTAGTCAGTTCTCGTTCGTTGGTCAGTTGTCGGTTAGTGGTTTTAGTAACGTTCGTTGGTTGGTTGGTTTTAGTTAGTAGGTTGGTTTGTCTATTAGTGGATTAGTTGTCGTTCGTTAGTCAGTTGTCGTTCGTTGGTCAGTTGTCGGTTAGTGGTTTTAGTAACGTTCGTTGGTTGGTTGGTTTTTGTCAGTAGGTTGGTTTGTCTATTAGTGGATTAGTTGTCGTTCGTTAGTCAGTTGTCGTTCGTTGGTCAGTTGTCGGTTAGTGGTTTTAGTAACGTTCGTTGGTTGGTTGGTTTTTGTCAGTAGGTTGGTTTGTCTATTAGTGGATTAGTTGTCGTTCGTTAGTCAGTTGTCGTTCGTTGGTCAGTTGTCGGTTAGTGGTTTTAGTAACGTTCGTTGGTTGGTTGGTTTTTGTCAGTAGGTTGGTTTGTCTATTAGTGGATTAGTTGTCGTTCGTTAGTCAGTTGTCGTTCGTTGGTCAGTTGTCGGTTAGTGGTTTTAGTAACGTTTGTTGGTTGGTTGGTTTTTGTCAGTAGGTTGGTTTGTCTATTAGCGGATTAGTTGTCGTTCGTTAGTCAGTTGTCGTTCGTTGGTCAGTTGTCGGTTAGTGGTTTTAGTAACGTTCGTTGGTTGGTTGGTTTTTGTCAGTAGGTTGGTTTGTCTATTAGTGGATTAGTTGTCGTTCGTTGGTCAGTTGTCGGTTAGTGGTTTTAGTAACGTTCGTTGGTTGGTTGGTTTTTGTTAGTAGGTTGGTTTGTCTATTAGTGGATTAGTTGTCGTTCGTTAGTCAGTTGTCGTTCGTTGGTCAGTTGTCGGTTAGTGGTTTTAGTAACGTTCGTTGGTTGGTTGGTTTTTGTCAGTAGGTTGGTTTGTCTATTAGTGGATTAGTTGTCGTTCGTTAGTCAGTTGTCGTTCGTTGGTCAGTTGTCGGTTAGTGGTTTTAGTAACGTTCGTGGTTTGGTTGGTTTTTGTCAGTAGGTTGGTTTGTCTATTAGTGGATTAGTTGTCGTTCGTTAGTCAGTTGTCGTTCGTTGGTCAGTTGTCGGTTAGTGGTTTTAGTAACGTTCGTTGGTTGGTTGGTTTTTGTCAGTAGGTTGGTTTGTCTATTAGTGGATTAGTTGTCGTTCGTTAGTCAGTTGTCGTTCGTTGGTCAGTTGTCGGTTAGTGGTTTTAGTAACGTTCGTTGGTTGGTTGGTTTTTGTCAGTAGGTTGGTTTGTCTATTAGTGGATTAGTTGTCGTTCGTTAGTCAGTTGTCGTTCGTTGGTCAGTTGTCGGTTAGTGGTTTTAGTAACGTTTGTTGGTTGGTTGGTTTTTGTCAGTAGGTTGGTTTGTCTATTAGCGGATTAGTTGTCGTTCGTTAGTCAGTTGTCGTTCGTTGGTCAGTTGTCGGTTAGTGGTTTTAGTAACGTTCGTTGGTTGGTTGGTTTTTGTCAGTAGGTTGGTTTGTCTATTAGTGGATTAGTTGTCGTTCGTTGGTCAGTTGTCGGTTAGTGGTTTTAGTAACGTTCGTTGGTTGGTTGGTTTTTGTTAGTAGGTTGGTTTGTCTATTAGTGGATTAGTTGTCGTTCGTTAGTCAGTTGTCGTTCGTTGGTCAGTTGTCGGTTAGTGGTTTTAGTAACGTTCGTTGGTTGGTTGGTTTTTGTCAGTAGGTTGGTTTGTCTATTAGTGGATTAGTTGTCGTTCGTTAGTCAGTTGTCGTTCGTTGGTCAGTTGTCGGTTAGTGGTTTTAGTAACGTTTGTTGGTTGGTTGGTTTTTGTCAGTAGGTTGGTTTGTCTATTAGCGGATTAGTTGTTGTTCGTTAGTCAGTTGTTCGTTGGTCAGTTGTCGGTTAGTGGTTTTAGTAACGTTCGTTGGTTGGTTGGTTTTTGTCAGTAGGTTGGTTTGTCTATTAGTGGATTAGTTGTCGTTCGTTAGTCAGTTGTCGTTCGTTGGTCAGTTGTCGGTTAGTGGTTTTAGTAACGTTCGTTGGTTGGTTGGTTTTTGTCAGTAGGTTGGTTTGTCTATTAGTGGATTAGTTGTCGTTCGTTAGTCAGTTGTCGTTCGTTGGTCAGTTGTCGGTTAGTTGTTTTAGTAACGTTCGTTGGTTGGTTGGTTTTTGTCAGTAGGTTGCTTTGTCTATTAGTGGATTAGTTGTCGTTCGTTAGTCAGTTGTCGTTCGTTTGTCAGTTGTCGGTTAGTGGTTTTAGTAACGTTTGTTGGTTGGTTGGTTTTTGTCAGTAGGTTGGTTTGTCTATTAGCGGATTAGTTGTTGTTCGTTAGTCAGTTGTTCGTTGGTCAGTTGTCGGTTAGTGGTTTTAGTAACGTTCGTTGGTTGGTTGGTTTTTGTCAGTAGGTTGGTTTGTCTATTAGTGGATTAGTTGTCGTTCGTTGGTCAGTTGTCGGTTAGTGGTTTTAGTAACGTTCGTTGGTTGGTAGGTTTTTGTCAGTAGGTTGGTTTGTCTATTAGTGGATTAGTTGTCGTTCGTTGGTCAGTTGTCGGTTTGTGGTTTTAGTAACGTTCGTTGGTTGGTTGGTTTTTGTCAGTAGGTTGGTTTGTCTATTAGTGGATTAGTTGTCGTTCGTTAGTCAGTTGTCGTTCGTTGGTCAGTTGTCGGTTAATGGAGTTAGTTACTAATGACATGGTGGCTAGTTGGATTGCTTTTGGTGGCTTGTAGGCTATTTTCGCTATATGTTGCTGATTTTACGGCTGGTGGGCTTACTGTTGATAACGGCTTGTTGGCTTACTGCTGATGGTAGCAAGTTGACTTGCTGTTGATGTTGGGTAGTTGGCTTTATGCTAGTGAGGGCTTGTTGGCTTTCTGTTGGTGACGTGACGGCTAGTTGGCTTGCTGCTTATGTCTTGACGGTTAGTTGGCTTGCTGCTGGTGACTTGATGGCTAGGTGGCTTGCTGCTGATGACGGCTACTTGGCTATCTGCTGCTGACTTGACGGTTTTTTGCCTTGCTGTTTATGACGGCTAGTTGGCTTGCTGTTTATGGCGGCTAGTTGGCTTGCTGTTTATGGCGGCTAGTTGGCTTGCTGCTGGTGACTTGATGGCTAGGTGGCTTGCTGCTGATGACGGCTACTTGGCTATCTGCTGCTGACTTGACGGTTTTTTGCCTTGCTGTTTATGACGGCTAGTTGGCTTGCTGTTTATGGCGGCTAGTTGGCTTGCTGTTTATGGCGGCTAGTTGAATTGCTGTTGGTGACTTGACGGCTAGTTGGCTTGCTGTTTATGACGGCTAGTTGGCTTGCTGTTTATGGCGGCTAGTTGGCTTGCTGTTTATGGCGGCTAGTTGGCTTGCTGCTGGTGACTTGACGGCTAGTTGGCTTGCTGTTTATGACGGCTAGTTGGCTTGCTGTTTATGACGGCTAGTTGGCTTGCTGTTTATGACGGCTAGTTGCCTTGCTGTTTATGAAGGCTAGTTGGCTTGCTGTTTATGAAGGCTAGTTGGCTTGCTGTTTATGACGGCTAGTTGGCTTGCTGTTTATGGCGGCTAGTTGGCTTGCTGTTTATGGCGGCTAGTTGGCTTGCTGTTTATGGCGGCTAGTTGGCTTGCTGTTTATGGCGGCTAGTTGGCTTGCTGCTGACGACTGCTAGTTGGCTTGCTGCTGATGACTTGACGGCTAGTTGGCTTGCTGCTGATGACGGCTAGTTGGCTTGCTGCTAATGACTTGACGGCTAGTTGGCATTCTACTAATAAACAGAAGATTAATTAGCTTAAAACTATTCCTATTGCAACTATTAGACTTGCCCCTGATGACTTGACGGCTAGTTGGCTTGCTGCTGGTGACGGCTAGTTGGCTTGCTGCTGATGACTTGACGGCTAGTTGGCTTGCTGCTGATGACGTGACGGCTAGTTGGCTTGCTGCTGGTGACGGCTAGTTGGCTTGCTGCTGGTGACGGCTAGTTGGCATTCTACTAATAAACAGAAGATTAATTAGCTTAAAACTATTCCTATTACAACTATTAGACTTGCCCCTGATGACTTGACGGCTAGTTGGCTTGCTGCTGGTGACGGCTAGTTGGCTTGCTGCTGATGACTTGACGGCTAGTTGGCTTGCTGCTGATGACGTGACGGCTAGTTGGCTTGCTGCTGGTGACGGCTAGTTGGCTTGCTGCTGGTGACGGCTAGCTGGCTTGCTGCTGGTGACGGCTAGATGGCTTGCTGATGGTGACGGCTAGTTGGCTTGCTGATAATGACGGCTAGTTGGCTTGCTGATAGTGACGGCTAGTTGGCTTGATGCTAGTGGCTTGACGGCTAGTTGGCTTGCTGCTGGTGACTTGACGGCTAGTTGGCTTGCTGCTGGTGACCTGACGGCTAGTTGGCTTGCTGCTGGTGACTTGACGGCTAGTTGGCTTGCTGTTGATGACGGCTAGTTGGCTTGCTGCTGGTGACTTGACGGCTAGTTGGCTTTCTAGTTGTGACTTGACGGCTAATTG